CCTTAGAGTACTTTCTGGCTTGTTCCAGTATCCTTAAGGATTGATGGCCATAACTGGAAAGAGTGATCCAGATATGGCCAAGCCTATACATAATAGAGGGGGACTATGGCCACTCTTGATTGGTATATTAGTTATGCACTGCTGAATAACAAATTACTCTAAAACTTAGTGACTTGAAACCATAACGTTTAATATCTCACCATTTCCGTGGGTCAGGAATCTGTGCATGGCTTAGCTGGGTCTTCTGGCTCAGGGTGGCTCACAGGTGGGAGTCAAGGTGTTGGCGGGGATGGCAGTCATCTCAAGGCTCAACTGGGGAAGGATCTGCTTCCAAGCTCACTCGTGTACTTGTGGGCAGGGTTCCATTTCTCATAGGCTGTTGATCCAAGGGCCTCAGCTCCTTGCTGGCTATTGGCAGGACGCTGCCTTCAGCTCCTTGCCGCATGGGCCTCTCTATAGAGCAGCTCACAACATAGTAGCCTGCTTCATCAGAGCAAGCAAGGGAAGGGAGTCAGAGAAAGAGAATAAGCAAGACAGAAGTCACAGTCTTTTATAACCTAATCACAGAAGTGATAGCCCATCATTTTTGCTGTATTCTATTAAATATTTGTTAGAAGCATATCACTAGGTCCAGCCCACACATACAGGGAGTGGATTACACAAGGTATGAATACCAAGAGGCAGGGGTCACGAGGAGCCATTTCAGAACAGCCTACCACAACTGGACGCCATGCTTCTAATCCTGAACCTAAAATTGTGACCTAAAGAAAAACCCCACATTAATGATTTAGTTTAAGTGACCCCAGGCTAATGAGAACCCTAGGTACTTGGCAAAAACAAATGTCAATCCTCTCTGGAGGAACTTACCTTAAGCCCAGGCATTAAGTACTTGCACCAGATAGGGTCTCAACAAACATGAGTTTGCCATGAAAAAGAAAAAAAACCACAGGTCACTATAAGCGACAGTTAACAGAAACAAAGGACCAGACATGCAGATACTACAGATACTGGAATTATCAGCTATATAAAATAGAATAAACATGTTTAATATGTAGAATTGAAAGTATGACTAAGGAACAAGACAGAGTTAAAAAATGTCAAATCACATTTGAAACAAAAACAATTTCAAGAAATAAAAAATAAAATAATTAGAATTATAAAATGAATAGACTGATTAAAACAGCAGATTAGAGACAGTTGAAATGAGAATTAATGAACTGAAAGATTTCAAGAAATTACTCAGAATGCAGCAAGGTAGCACATTGGTAGAACCAAGGTTTAAGGACAAATTTTATTCAAGTGACTGTGTAAAGCACCAAGTGAATGCAAAGAAAAATTTCACATATATATATGAAATAAAAAATACAAGTGAGAACAACACTTTCTGAAAAGATTCAGAAAATATTTTCTTCAACTGGTACTTGAAGCTTCCATTTGTGGGACTACTTCAATCAAACTGCACCACCATCAGCAACAACACCAAGACTAGGATTTTAAGTGGAGATGAATCTTTACCTTACTCAGTTCCTATTAAACAAAAAGAAAAGCTTAATAATTTTGTGGCAGCATCAACACTAGCAGTATCCCATAATGGCAGAGCTAACCAAATATTATCTGCCACTGTATCCTCCTTAGGTAAAAGTGAGCATCTATTTATGTTGTAGACAGCACTAGTGTTTACTTCTGGGAATATTCTTCTCTACTTCTAGGTGTACTGGGGCTTGCACTTCCCCTGCCCTTTAAGTGAGGCACAGCTATTTAACTAGTTTTGACTAATGGAACAGGGGTGGAAGTAACGTGCATATCGGGGGTTATAGCATTTCACTGTCAGTGGTAGACTCCCTAGTCCACTCTTTCCCTACCCTGGTAAACCCTAAGCCTCATCTTGAAACATGGACATGATAAAACGGTGGAGTCTCCATCAGCCTACTACCCTCCTCCCACTGGCACATCCCGCCAGCTTATGATGGATATGCAGCACAAACAAAAAATAAATATTTGTTGTTTTAAGCCACTGGACTTTAGGGTTTGTTTCCAAAGCATAACCTAGCTTATCCTGGCTGGTGCAATTTAGTGTTGGTGTCATAAATGTAGAGTATAATGACCCCAGAAGCAAACTATCTGTTTACATTGATGAGAAATAAATATTCCTGAATGCAATGTCAAACTTTAAAAATCGAAAATTGAAAAAATTGAAAATACTAGCCAGGCATGGTGATGCACGCCTGTAGTCCTAGCTATTGGGAGGCTGAGGCAGGCGGATCACTTAAGACAAGGAGTTTGAGGCCAGCCTGGGCAACATAGTGAGATCCCATCTCAAAATTTTAAAGAAAATTTGAATACTAATATTTTTTCAATTGATAAATAAAAATTGTGTGTATCTATCATGTACAACACATTGTTTTGAAATACATATACATTGTGGAATGGCTAAATGAATACTAACATTTTAATAATAAAACTATAATGTTAATATAAAAATTTAATTTTTATATTTCATGTGTATTCTTTTATCTCCAAAGTTTATTACAGCATGGCGATATTCTGCTTCAGCCAAATATTGATTTTTAACATGAAGCTGCTTTGCATTCAGCCAAAATATATATTTGGTACCCCCACTAAAAATAATATACTAAATAAAAATGATACAAATAAACACTTGGCTATGTGTCCTTTATTTAAAATAGTTACTTCAGAGAAACCTGAAATGATTTGTAAATTAAGTCACAAATTGATTCCAAGGAAGAATACCTTGATCTTCTAGAATTCAGGTATTCTTTGCTGCCATCTTGCATCTTCTATCTTGTCTCTTCTGCTGCCACTAGCTAGCTTCTGCTACTGCTAAATTCCAGCAACCAGCAGGATTCAATTCAGTGCTCTGTTTTGATTGCTGGGTCCCTGATGAGAACGCCAAGTCAGTTGAATAACTTAATTTTTAAGCTGTAAACAGAAAAGCACAATCAACTCATTTCCTATATACTTTGGGCTATCAGAAAGCCACATGGTAGCTGGTACTTGTCCCAGTAAGTGGTCCAGACAAGGCTTCAGGCTAACAAAAGAGAAGCCATTTCAATTCTTAATATTCTCCTCCCAGGGAAGAATATTGTTAAAAACTATGAGTCATATATGAGCAAACAAAGGTCAGATCAAACACAATAGTGTGCCAATAATCTTAGTATAGTTCTAAGTTTTAACAACTTCAGAAGTATAAATTCTATGAACTTACACAAAACATAATTTGAAAGTAAAATTATTTAAATTTCCTTTATGTTTATTTGGTTTTGTGAATTTTTGAACAGTAAATGTATTTTAATTTTTTGTTTCAGTCAACATTTGCTATCTACTGTTAGAGGGACTAAAAAATGTAAAACTTAAAATTTTTTAAAATTCACAAAATGAAATAAGCATATAAGAAATTTAAATAAACTTTATACGTGATGGTTTTTGCAAGTTCATAGCATTTATACTTCAGAAATTATCAAAGCTTAAAACAGCACCAAGACTTTTGGAACACTTGTATATGGAAAACTGTGGAGTCACAGGGTACTTGAATATAAACTTTACATATATAATTTATACTCAGCTATGTCCAAAGAAAATTGAAGCCATTTATAACAACACATATACACAAACAGATATAAAACTGAGTCATAAGACTTCCTGAAGCAGCAAAGACATGTTGCTAAGTGATTAAAACTTTAGGAAAAGTATGAGAGACAGAGGCAAATTAGTAGCAATATCTGTAATACAGGTTTCTGGTATTTTCACTTGGAAAGGGGTTAAGGGTCCATTTATACTTGTTCTTAAGATAGTATTATGTTCTCTATATTTTGGTATTAGTATAATATTATTGCTAATGATGCTTTTCCACGAAAGTTAAAGAACTTTTAAAGATGAATATTAATAGAATATAGAAAAACAATAAATATTAGTTTTCCTTCCTGTTAGAGATTATCTAGTTCAGTGGTTCTCAACCTTGGCTGCACAGTGCAATGACCTAAGGACCTTAAAAAATATAAATGCTTGGGTCCCAGTGAGCTTCTGCAGATTGATCTAAGCTGCAGATCTAGGCATCTGGAATTTTAGAAGCTACTTGGTGATCCTAATGTGCAGTCAAGGGTGAAAACCACTGCTCTAGTTCAATATATAATCAGGTATACATCAGCATTAAAATGCATAGATGTTCAGAGCTCCAATTTTTAACCGTTAGCACCAATCTTAAATTTTATAATGGAAGAAATTGAAAAAAGAAACTACTTTAATCAACATGAATAAATGGCAAAAACATATTGATTGAAATAACCCAGACACACAGAGGACCTATTGCATCATTCTATTTAAATAAGGTTAAAAAAAAATCAGAACGTGGGGGGAAGGGAGGATTGATGGGAAGGGACGCGAGAAGGAAATTCCTGAGACAGAAATGTTCCTCTATTTTGATTAGGGTACATGGATATATACATTTATCAAAAGTTATTGAAATGAACAACTGAGATCTATATGTATGACTTAGCTATATGTAAATTACACTTCGAAAAAAAGAACGAATCAACCACAATTAATTTAAAACTGGATACCTATGACAGGGTCGGGGAGGTAGACGATTATTACTTCAGATCATCCCCAAACCCTCGCTAGATTAAAAGGAACAGCAAACCCCAGACCAGAACTGGCGAGAATGGAGAGCAGACAGCAGGGAGGGCCAAAGCCTCAGAAATAGCTAGAAGGCTAGGCGCCATAACTAAGCCGCTGCCTGGACGGCGACGCCCGAATGTCCCACAAAAATAAGCCCCCGCGCCATTTTCCGGTATTCCCAAGCACGCCCGTGTGTCCCCGCCGGAAGAGTCCGGAGAGAAACGTCGCCACCGCGGGAAAGGAGCCGGCTGTAGCTTGGTTCCTGCGCGGATGCTGGGGCTGTAAGGCGCGGCGCGGTCGGCTGTTTGCGGCGCAGGGAGGAGGACATCAGGGCTCGCCTTCCCGCCTCTGCCGCTGCCGCCGCCATGATTCCGGTGTCGCTGGTGGTGGTAGTGGTGGGTGGCTGGACTGCAGTGTACCTGACCGACTTGGTGCTGAAGGTGAGGGCCTCGGGCCTAAGGCTCAAGCCCGCGGTGCCCAGGGCCGGAGCGGAAGGCCCTGCGTCGCCCCAGGCCTTCTTTTTTCTTCTCCTGCCTCGCGCCTCCCGGGCTGGAAGCCACGCGGCCGGTGCCCACGTGCGGCCTTCCGCGTGGCGCGTCGGCCCCGTGGAGTAAATAAAGTGCTGCTGGCCGCGGGAGGGGTGTGGCGGTCTGCCCGGCTGCCGCTGTCGCAGTGCGGGGCAGTGCAGGCCCCTCAGCCTTCGGGTCGTGCCCGGGAGGCGCCGGTGGTAGGCTTGGGAGGGACGGGGGCCCTGCCAGACCCCGCGGCAGCAGTGCACCAGAGAGGAAAATAAAACGTCTGCTTAGGAAAGACTATTGTTTTCTCTCGTTTTTTCAAAGATCACGACCCTCTAAAGACTCTGGTATTGGAATGAATCTAAATCAAGTCGTGATTTAGAGCAGTGGTCTCAAATTTTAAAATGCATATGGTCATCTGGTGTTCCAGTTAAAATGCAGATTCTGATTAAGCAGATCTGGGTTAAGGCCTAAGATTCTGCATTTCTACCCAGTTCCCAAGTGCTACTGATGCTGCTGGTCCAGAGACCATACTTCAAAGTAGCATACCCAAGTAGCAAGGATTTAGATAATCAGTTTCTGACTACTCGAATTCTGATTTGCACCCTGCACCCCTTTCTTCACACTACCCACACACACCCTGGGTGCACGGTGCATTTTTCAATAATTTGGGAAGGGTAGCAAAAAATTAGCAGTTGTCTGACCACATGCTTCAAGCAGCCTTTTGGAATTGACTAGGGAGGTGGGGGCAGGAAGTAACAATATGTGTGGAATAAGATCATATAAATTCTCAAATGTTTAATAAGACTTCCAATTATGAATAATAAAACCTTCATGTTATGAATACCATTTTAAACAGAAAACTATTGTGTGTTTTAGATTTAACAATAAAATGAAATGAGACTTGTGCTTTGTTGCATTTAAACTTGTAAAGTGCAGGAGGTTATAAGGGATAGTCTTTAGAGTAAGGGCTGGGCTCTGCCACTTCCTAGCTGTTGTGACCTTGGGCAAATTTCTATTTGTGTCTTGGTTTCTCATCTTTAAATAGTGATAATAACAGGATCTCCTGAGATTATAGAGAGGATTACATTAGTGTATCCACATAAAGTTTTGCTACTCAACTTGAAGTTCAAGGACCGGCAGTGCTTGCATTATCTGGGAGCTTGTTAGAAATGCAGAGTCTCAGGCCTCACCCCTGACCTACAGAAGCAGAATCTGCATTTCAACAAGATCCCAGGTGATTCCTCTGCACATGTTTGTTTGAGAAGTGTGGATATAAAGTACTTGACATAGTGCTTAGTATAGTGCTTAGCATGTCATAAGCAATACAGACCACAGTGATTTTGTTGTTTGGGAAAAAAGCCACATAATTTCCTCATGTTGCATATGTGGAAAAAAAGCCAAAATAAAAAGAACTTTTCAAACCTCTACAGTCTCTGTCACAAGTGTGTGAGGTGATCAGGATGTCACTCTAATTTCAGTGACAGCCCCGAACTCCCTAAGAGAGCAGTATAACCTGAGCAAAAGACCTGACATTCAGGGTTATCCGCCTGGGGAATGGAGAAAGCTCGACTTTTAGGAGCCTGTACCTTTGGCTTTTCTGCTTCCGGCTGGATATGTTGTTCCACCTTTGGTTTTTCTAGGATTTATGAAGTAGATATCTGCCGGAGGTATGTGTCACTCTCCTTTTCCAAGTTCTGGAAAACAAGCAGGTTTTAAAAACCACCTGAAGACTGAGAGCAGAGAACATTACAGATCCAAAGCAAATAAATACCTATATTCAGGTGCAGGTCATTTTTTATGACTGTGATAGGGCTGAAATACCCTTCTGGGATAGAGTTAAGTTTCTCACATGAGTGGGCATCAATATGACAAAATACCTACTGTGCTTACTGTAACTATGTCAGGTATAAAACCCAGCCTTATGTTATCCAAAATCCTACATTAGTCAGGGACTCAAACTTCTCTAAAAATAAAACTCTTGTTGGGGCTGTGTATAAGCAGTCATCCCCACAACTCCAGAGAATTTAAGAGATGTTACTGAGACCAAGATGGCTTTATATAAGTTTTATACTTTTATATGATCAAAATCAGCCTAACCTCTTAGAGTTGTTGCTCAGAAGAAGGTAGAAAGCACTGATAACAACTAACCTGTCCCTTCTATTGGATTGGTCGGGGGTCTTTTTAACTTATAACACAGGCTTCCAGACCTGTGTTGTCCAATATGGTAGCTATTAGCTACATGTGGCTATTGAGCCTTTGAAGCAGAGCTAGTCCAAATTGAGATGTGTTGTAAGAGTAAAGTTGACACCAGATTTCAAAAAATTAGTTCCAGAAAAAGTATCTCAACAACTTCTTTATACCGATTA